GAACCCTCTCCAAAAGTTACTCCCTATCTATGCCCAGGCAACATCCAGATGAATCTCCTCTGCAATTAGTCAGAGAAATTGGAAAGTTTTCTGGAAATTATGGAGACGGTTCAAGTGAAACAGTTAAATAGTGAAATTGATAACTGTTTTGTGGGTGCTCCATGCACTCTCAGAGCTGCCAGTGATATCTGTGGATTTGCACATGGCTGCAAGCACCTGGGTTCCCCTTCGGTTCCTGCTGCATCACTTCTTTGCAACATGCAACAACTGTAGAAAGAACCAAAAGCTTGAGGAAGCTTGCCAACAGCTAAAAGAAATCACCCAGCAACTAAACCGTGAATAGATAAAACTCCACTTAAATTGCACAGGATCAGAACATACGTTGCCATATGTATGCTGAGTAGTGTAAGGTTCGTATAGGGCACTGCCTAAAGTGCTGACTCCAAAATGGCACCATTGTTATCAAGCCTGAGTGTGGTGTCCTGGTAGTTGTCATGATGTTCCTGTTCCACATACTTTCAATGTGGCATCCAATGTAATCCCCTTAACCCCTCAGAGCTGAACTCAGGGCTAGTGCCAGAGGACAGGAGAAATGCAATCACACCTTTGCTCAGTCGAGGCAAGAACAGGCTGGTTAGTTTAACCTCAGTGGTGAGAAACTTCTAGAAATTATAATTCAAGACAAACTTACGCATCAAGTGAGAAAATGTTGATTAATTAACACATTTGCTAAAGGAAAATCATATTTAACTAAATTGCTGGTGGTTTTTGATGAGGCAATAGTGAGGGATTGATAAGGATAATGATGCTTACATTGTGTACTTGTTCTTATAAAAGGCATATGATTTGAACAAACTGAGCAAAGTTAGACATCAGGCAATAAAGAGGGAAAATCATTTTATCAATTTATGAGCATGCAAATTTAAGAAAAAAGTCAATGCTTGAAACAGTTAATCCACACTGCATCATTTCAGTGATGTAAGCAAATGACACAACACTTACTTTAATTTTTTTATTAAGTTTGACGAGTTTGCTTTGAAAGCTCCCCCTTTTCTATGAATCTGATCGAATATTAGAAAGTCAAGAAGTTGAACTTGCATGGCATTCTCCTTTTGAAAGACATTTAAATCTGAACGAAAGGGTGAGATAGCATGTAGCAATTTCTCATTTGTAGGGAATGACTTAATGTAATTTGGCTTGGCCTTTTGATACCTTCTTTGTAACGACACAGACTGCAAACAACAGTATGCATGCATTTATGAAGGCAGGTACTAACTGGTAAATATACACTTGGTAAGTACTGACAGTACATGAGTGGGGGTAATATACAAAGATGATAATTGGATATGTTGCCGTAGCATGGTGTAAAATTGGCTGAGTAACAAGAAACTAAGAGTGGTAAATGGTTATCTTTCAGACTTGACGATCTGCCGTTCCTGAAATGCATCAATTAACTAAATCTTGCTGTTCAGATCATCTTATCAAAATTTGCAAAGAATATGAAACATTGGGAATCTTGTGAACTGTGAGGAGGTTAAGAAAGGCTTTGACAGGCTGGAGAAATGGCAGACAAGTGCAGACACGATTTGCTGTAGAGAACTAATTCATTTTGGTAGAACTAATATAGAAAAACAATATAAAATAAAGCATACAATTCTAAAGGGTGTGCAGGTTAAGAGGGACCTGTATGTATATCTGCAGGAACAATTGAAGATAGCAGGACAGAATCCCTACACTGTGGAAGCAGGCTGTTTGGCCCATTGAATCCACACTGGGACTCTGAAGAGCATGCCACCCAGACACATTCCCCTACCCCATCCCTGTAATCCTGCCTTTCCCATGGCTAATCCACCTAACCTACACATTCCTGGACACTAAGGGGCAATTTAGCATGGTCAATCCACTGAACCGGCACACCTTTAGACTGTGGGAGGAAACTGGAGCACCCAGAGGAAACCTACGCAGACACGGGGAGAATGTGCAACCTCCGCACAGACAGTCGCCAGAGGGTTGAATCAATCGCGGTCCCTGGCGCTGTGAGGTAACAGTGCTAACCACTGAGCCACCGTGCTGTCCCAGGTGAGAGAGGAATTAATAACATATTCTATCTGCACTTTATTAAGAGGACCAAAGAGAACAAAAGCAAGAAAGTTATGTTGAAGTTTTTAAATGGTTTTGCCTCAAATTGATTATTATGTTGAGTTCTGGGCACTGCACTTGACGAATGATATGAATAGAGAGACTCGTGAGAATTGTTCCAGGGATGAGAGCTTTAGTTATGTGGTTAGATTGAAGAAGTTGGTACTGTTCTACTGGATCAGACGCAGTTGAGAGAACATCTGATAGAAGTGTTCAAAATCATGAGTTGGTCAGACAGAGTAGACAGGGAAAATCTGTTCCAATTATTGGAAGGATTGAAGGTGCATAGTCTTAATGTCATTGGCCAAAAAGTCAATGCCATCATGAGGAAAGGCAATTTCAGATAGTGAGTGGATAGGATCTAGAATACCCTGCCTGAAAGTATGGTGGAGGTAGGTTCAACTGAGAGATTCAGGAGGGAATTGTTATCTTGAAAGGAAGAAAATGCAGGGATACGTCAAGAAGGCGAGAGTCATACCAGTTGATCTGTCCCTTCGAGTAGTCAATATAGACACAATGAATTACTGTAATCCCCAGCCATGACACCAAACAGGCTGAACTTGCATGATCTTCCTGTCAGCTTTCCCTACAGTGCTCAGATATTGGCTGAATGCAATGGAAGCTGAGATATTGGCCAACAGGCATTGTGATTGTTGTAAAATCTACAAATGTGTGAATGGAATTGACTACCATGTCCATTCTGCAAATGAGGTGCAAAACTCCTTGGCAGATTGGTGCTGAACTCCTGTATGCTGTTTGACAGTATCGGCAGCCTCTCGGCAGGTCTCCCATGCACTGAGCGTTTCATTGTGTATACAGGTCATTTTCTTTCCTGTAGGCTACCGCAGTGAGGTTTTCAGTGTGTGATCTTGCCATCTGGTGAGCTGTTGCCCTGTCAGACTGGTGTCATTTAGATCTTGCCTCTAACCCATCCTCTGAGTTACATCAGTGTGACTAAGTGGTAGCTGTGATAAGACCAAGTAACATTACTGTGTCTTCATTGTCGTCATCTTGGAGTCCCTCCACTGACATACTGGGTATCTGAAAGCAGAAAGGCATGAGGGTAAGGTGGTAGTGGGGATGGAAGGGAAAATAAAGAGGTGTGTGTGTCTAACTATTTGTGCCTTACCAATCAGAAGAGATTGCGGGATGAGAGGAATTGTGATTTGAGAAGGAGGGTTAAGTCTGAGAAGATCATAATCTTTGATGTTTTTAGCTCCTTCCTGCAAGACATGGTCTCAGCAATGGCTGTCCCAAAAATGGCCAGCACTATCCCCTCCACTGGATCAGAACATGCAGGTGCCTTGGATCCCCTCCAGTTGGTTCCCACTTTCATTATGCATTACCTTCATTTTATAAGGGGTTAAGTGTTCATACTGAGGAGTGCCCTAGCATCATTCACTGTAATGTCATACAGACTTGGTTGGACATAGCTTAGTGTCTGTAAAGAGTGAAACCATCTGTGTCCTCCTTGTAGTCTCTGTAACAATGACTATTGTATTGGTGTAACTTGTAGCTATTGGCTAACATGCAATAACCCACATCTTGTTTCAGACAGGAGCCTTTCCTCATTAGACAACCCATGGTTATCCTCTGCCACATTTGACTAAGCTGGCCCTGTAGATCCCTGCTGTAAAAGACGATGGTGGCACCAATCCGACCCTATGGTAAGTAATGGTGTAGCCTATCTCATAATGAAGTGGTGCAGGTTACTCACCCAACAACTTTGTCCTGCAAGAAAGAGGAAAGTAGTCAGTGAGTGTCATATAATTTGGCTGATGTGGTTGCCATGGTTGAATAGTTGTGTGCAAGCTGTGAGATTTGGGTGTGAGGTTGCAGCAGTGCTAAGTCCGTGAGTGTGGAGTAAGGTTATGAATTCAGGTATGATCTCTGATTGGTATAGATTGTTGGTAGTAGGCTGAAGGGGGTGTGGTGCATCGAGCAGTGGCAGAGGATAACATTGCATATAGTGGAATGTGATTTTTGAAAAAGCATTCACTCACCTTGACCTATCGGTTGAGGTCATTCTACTTCTTGTAGCATTGCATTCAGGTTTTCAGCATTTGACTCCTGACATCAACTTCTACAGCGACCTGCTTTTTGTGTATGTGTCTGGAGGGGCTCTTCCCCTTCTGCAGGTACGTGACATCTTTGTTCCTTTCTAGTTCCTCCACCATGGCCTCCCATGGGATTCCTGAAAATCTTCTCTCCCCTGTTGTGCTATTCCTCACCCTTTCCCTTGTTGGATTGCCTTTAAACCACAACTCCAAGCCTCTGCTCCAGGCACAGTACATCTTCCCTTGAAGAGTTTGGTAGGCTGGCTTTAATATCGGTGCCCTGCTGATGTGTCCACTTACAGCTGGTTGGAAACAGAGATCATTCAAATGAACAGGCAGTGCAGAGCTAACGTTCTGCCTATGTTGCAATGAGTGGGAAGTAGATTAATCACCCACCACGATCCCTGTGCCCACTTTTGAGGTTTATCAAATTTACCCCCCACCATCACATGTTTCCTGTCTAAAAATTGAAGGCTGATCATGGAGTTGAAATCTAAATAGTTAAATAGAGAATAAAAAGTAATTCACAACATTTGCATGTTGTTTGCAAAGGTAAAATGGTAAGCAATACATCCATCAGGTTGGGCAGGACAATCAGATGAAACAGAAAGCCATAAAAATATTTAAACCAAGTTTAAAATTAAAGACAGAACATTATTAAAGCTTCGATCAAGGAACAGATGAACAATCTATGCAAAAAACACATTTTTGTACAATTTCAGGTTTAATGAATAATACCACATAACCCCAGCCTAGAAAAATGAAATTTCAATACATTTATTCAGACTAGTACTTGTAGCTCACTTCCTGTCATTTGCAATCATATTCCCAACGCAACTTTCTATAATAATTTCACAGTATTAATTTCACTGTATCCATCAAAGATTTTAATTACATTTTAATCAACTCTTTATACACAATCTCTTCATACAGTCCATATTGTAATTAGATTTAATTAAAGCATTTTCTTTTCAATATTGTGTAAAAAGCATTCTGCTCCATCAATCTCGCACCGTAATTACTTTTCATTCAAAACCATTTTTCTGATTTGCTATGCATTTAGTGCACTTTGCCATTGTTTAATATCTGATAACCTTTTGAAAATGGATTTCTTATCTCAGATGACATACATGCATGTCAGTTTTGTAGCAACCTATTTTACTTTCAAAGTTTATTTTCAAATGGACACACGAAGGACAAAAATACATGACAGAGATTATAGAATGGATTTTTACATTTGTTTCTTGCAATAGATTTTGCTTTGCTCCATGTGGAATGTTAGAAGGGATAATTGTCCATGTTAGAAATGTAGCAGTCATACAGGGCCTTCAGTTAAACCCTCTAAAGCCAGGTTGGCAGCTTTGTCTGGAGTGGAGACTTCTTCCTGTTGAGCTGATACCTGAACCATGAGGCAGACATGTGGCTTGTGACATTCGGTATGATTCAGTGATGGATAGTGTTGTCTGTAGGCTAGGTAGGCAAAAATAGTGCCAATTAAAGCACCAACCAACGCATCTGCAATACAAGAACAAAAGAAACATTCTGAGTGTAAGTTGGTACAAATGACAAAGACAGATAGTTAAACACCTGCTCATCCATCAGGAATATCTTATTCAGAAGGGACTCTTTTAAATGCTTTGAGTTAATTCAATAAAGGATCTCTGAAGGTGATCAAAAAATAGTTCTTAGAGATTACCATGGCCAAGAGATCCATCACCAGCTTAGCACCTTCTTTGTGTGTGTAATGACTTTAAGCTTCTCTAAAAGGTTATTCAACTCCCTTTTGAACACTGGTTGCCAATCAGCCACCTATTACAATCTGCATGAATCAGCAATTTAGCGCAACCTACATGAGTCCATGACCAATCACAATCTGCATGAGTCAGCACTTTATCACTGCACGGTGATTCCACCCTCGGGCGACTGTCGGTATGGAGTTTGCACATTCTCCCCGTGTCTGTGTGGGTTTCCTCCGGGTGCTCCGGTCTCCTCCCACAGATAAAAGATGTGCAGGTTAGGTGGATTAGCCATGCTAAATTGTCCATAGTTTCCACGGATGTGCAGGCTAGGTGGATTAGTCAAGGGAAATGCAGTGTTACAGGGATAGGGTAGGGGAGCTGGGTCTTGGTGGGATGCTCTTTGGAGGGTCACTGTTGACCTGATGGGCCGAATGGCCTACTTCCACACTGTAGAGATTCTATGATCACAATCTGCATGAGCCAGTGACCTATTACAATGGCCAACTGTGCAAAAATATGTCTGACATCTAGCCTAGATTCTAGAAGAACATGACAGAATATTTCTAATATTCATTAGGAGATGATCAGTAAAATGTAAATATGAAACAATAACAGAAATTGTTGAAAGAACTCAGCAGGTCTGGCAGCATCTGTGGAGAGAAAACAAAAAGTTAATGTTTCAGGTCCAGCAACCCTTCTTCAGAACTGTTCTGATTTCTCTCCAAAGATGCTGCTAGACCTGCTGAGTTTTTCCTTGCAATATCTGTTTTTGTTTCAGATTTCCAGCATCCACAGTTCTTTGGTTCTAAATATGAAGCAAACTGTGGCAGTTTAAGAATCTGCTTGGCAACCTCTTTCATCTAAGCTGTTTGTGAGATTGATTTGTTTTTAACTACAGCTTTCTACATTCTACTACCAATTGTACTAAACAATGTCTTAATTATTTTTAAATATTGACTAAAATACTTCTAATATATTCTTCCATTGGTTCTATTCATTTTAATTGTACTGCAAATTAATTTTACAAGTTATGCATATTTACATAATCCTGTGAAATCTGGATGCTACCTCTTTGGTTGACAACCTCCAGGACACTCCCTGTACATCTACCTATCCTGGGACAGACAGCAAGCATTTCAGTGTTGTATGAGTGGCAAAAAAGATCTTGGTGGCATGAAGGTTGGGTTTAATGCATGCAGTGATGGGCATGAGGCCTGTGATTGTTATAGAGTTGGAGGCGAATATAACCACTTTCTGAAAACTGCTAGTGTTGTCATTGCAAAACGGATGTATCATCAATGCATTATAAGTCTGCGACTGATGCGTTTTCCTAATGCCCAGCCTGTAGAAAATAAACACACTGAGGACCAGTCTTTTTCCATTGTGGTTGCAGGGAGAGGCCATTGAAGCACCAGTACTGTTAGGTTCAAATAAACTTGGCATCATTTCACGTTATTAAACAACTCTAGATCATGCCATTACTGTCAACTCAGGTTTCCATTTCTCTTAACTAATCTCTCAAATGAATATGTTCCCATTGAAAATAATAAATAAGAAAAACCTAAAATATTTGGTTGGGTAAGAGTTAAAATTCTTATTCCCATGTTACATCCTTCCAAGAGACGTGTTGCTATGCTTGAGATCTCTGCATCAGTAAACACACTCTACTGAGCCAAACAGATGACATTCTGTCCGAAGAAATCCTGAATTTATACATTATTACATATTCATAACAATGCATTTCTTGTACTAATGCAGACTGATCACTGGATTTGCAATTATCATGCAATATTGGATGGAACTTTTTTTTATGAACATTTCTGACAGCTAAAAGTCCTTTAGCCTGGTTTCTGGAGCTAGTTTTTACTCTGTTCCCAGAGTAAAATCTAGCTATTAAATAAATATACATGTTGACATTTATTTTGAACATGGTAATCCAGTAACTCTAAGAGTGGAGTGCTCTAGTTTGATTTCACTAAACTCTATTCCCTTGAGAGGCTAATTTCAATGCACCTGGTTGGCATCCTTAAAATAATCATTTCCCAGCAACAGAAAGCTACATCGCACTGATCTCTATCCCACATTAACCATATCACTTTGCCTGATTGGCAGAGATTGCAAAGAGACAATATCAGGGATCTTAAAACTGGGATAAGTGAAAATACACACTTATTTGCACACAGGATCTGTAAAGCAGAGGTAAAATAGCTGATATTTGAAAAAAAAAGTCGATGTGGAGAAAAGAAGAAAGAAAAACTGGGAGATGAGTGAAAAATATACTTATAATAAAAAAAAATGTTGGCCATGAAATTTGGCTCCTCCAGCCTCCCTTCTTTGGGTGTTATGGGGGCTATTTTGCCTCTAAAATATGTGTGCACACGTCAGAAATGAGCCATACTGGGAACCATTTTTTGTGATGGGCATCTGCAAACATACATGGGGCATCCATGCAGAGTTGGCAAAACCCAGTGGTCAGCACTGAACACTGAATTGATGCCAATGTCACCATGTTGGAGTTCAATGCTTCCATTAACACACTAATAAACGTGTACACAGTGACAGGAACAGCAGCCACCCTCTTCCCCAAAACTGTTTCAAAGTATCAAAGTATTTTCTGGTTATTCGCTAATTGATTTTGACTGGCTCTTGCCTTGTTGTAGAAGTGTTTTATGGTTTTCAGAGTGGTTTGATGCCGCTAAGGTCCATAGGAAGTGTATGACACATGCTGAGGTGCTTTTGACCAACTTCAAATATTCTGCACAAACAGTTTGCTTCCAGACCAAGTGCACATGTACACGTACCCCTTGGAACACTACACGACTGATAGTAGGGGCCATCAGAGCAGGACAAGATGCTGGAAGAAGGAGGTAAGAGAAAAGCTCTCAGGATGAGGCCATATCTGCCTAGGGTCTAGAGGGACCACGCATCTACCTGAATCTCAGTGAGAAAGTGTATTAGGCTTTTTCACTTGACTAAGTTTATCCTCTCTGAAATCTGTCACAACCGTTGTGCAGGGTGAGAACGGCATTAACAATGGCTGTGAAGGTGGCCATGGCCATGAACTTTTATGCATTTGACTCCTGCTAGCCTGGAGCAGATGAAGTCTGCAACACCTTCCAGTTTAACATCATTGTTGCTTAAGGATGGTAACTGTTCCAATGGAACTGAATAGAATTCACCGTTTCCTGTCAGAGAGACGCGGCGGAGTAAGAACATTGTTTCCTGAGAATTCCCAGTGCTGTAGGATGCCACTGACTGCAACTGTATTAGTTTGCCATGTCTCAGGTCAAACTTAAGATATATCACAACAAAGCAATCTTCCAGTCTGAGTCAACATCCAGCTGGTGTGTAACCATGTACAACAGGTAACATACAACTAAGTGTCCATTACACGGGCTTCATTATATGGTAGCTGAGGAGCAGGACAGAGAGGTAGAAAGGATGAAACTATCTAGTTCCTTTCTGGACTGGCTGTCTTTAGCATCTCATCCACATTTCCCATTCACCTACAGTCCCACAGCTTAGAGTCTTAGAGAGTCATACAGTATTGAAACATACCCTTCAGTCCAATTAGTCCATGGTGACCATGCTCCCAAAATAAGCTAGTCCCACCTGCCTGCATTTGGTCCATATCCCTCCAAACCTTTCCTATTCATGTACTTAGCTAAATTTCTTTTAAACATTGTAATTATACCTGCATCCACTACTTCTTCTGGAAGTTCATTCCACATACTAACCACTCTTTGTGTAAAAAAGCTGCCCCTCATGTCCTTTTTAAATCTTGCTCCTCTCACATTAAAAATATGCCCCCTAGTTTTGAACTCCCCCACCCTAGGGCAACGACCTTTGTTATTCACCTTATGTATGCCCCGCATGATTTTATAAACTTCTATGAGGTCATCCCTTGGCCTCCTACGCTCCAGTGAAAAAAGTCTCAGCCTGTCCAGCCTCTCCTTATAACTCAAATCCTCCATTCTTAGCAACATCCTTGTAAATCTTTTCTGAACCCTCTTCAGTTTAATAATATCCTTCCCATAACAGGGTGATGAGAACTGCACAACACTACCCAAGGCCCCACCATTAATTGTATAAGTCCTGCCCTTGTTTGTTTTACCAAAATGCAATACCTCACATTTATCCAAATTAAACTCCATCTGCCACTCCTCAGCCTATTGACCCAATTGATTAAGATCTCTTTGTAATCTTGGGTAACCTTCTTCGCTGTCCACTATACTACCAATGTTGGTGTCATCCACAAACTTACTAATCATGCTATAATCATGCCTATATTCTCATCCAAATCATTTATATAAACGACAAACAAAAGAGGACCCAGAACCGATCCCTGTGGAACACCACTGGTCATAGGCCTCCGGTCCAAAAAACAACCCTCCACCATCACTCTCTGTCTCCTGCCATTAAGCCAATTTTGTATCCAACTGACAAGCTCACCCTGAATCCCATGTGATCTAACTTTACTAATTAGTCTATCATGCGGAACCTCATGGCTTTACTGAAGTCCTGGTAAACAACATCGACCATTCTGCCCTTATCAATCCTTTTAGTTATTTCTTTAAAAAAGTCAATCTAATTTATGAGACATAATTTCCCTCACACAAAACCATGCTGACTATCCCTAATCAATCTTCTCTTCCCTCTCTCATCGTCACAGATCTTTTGGACTATAATGGTAAAACAGAAGGGAAAATCAAGCGCAAAGTAACTGTTCCAAATCAAATTTATGCATGAAATCGTGCTGTGCTGCACATAACCATC